TCCCTATTCTCCTCCACCCTTGTCCTCTCCTCTTCCCCCTCTTCCTCCCCTCCCTCCTCCTCCTCCTCCCCGTACCCCAGCACATCCAAGACCCCTTCCAACGCCTCCTGGGCCGTTAGCGTAACCGTCGGGACCGCGTTCAAATCCAAAAGAAGGGCCGAGAGGGAAGCGGCATCCACGTTGGTCCGAGAGACCCGAGCCAGCCGCCGGCAGTAACTGTCCGGCGTTTGCGCCCGCAGGGCTTTGGCTTCGGCGACAAGGGAGGCCACATGGGCCGTGCCGGAGAAGGAGAGGGAGGCAAGGGTCTCGGGGAGGAGGTCCACGGGGGCGGCGAGCAGGGAGGCTCGGTGCCGACGGAGGAGGGCGAGGAGGAGGAAGTGATGGAGGAGCGGGTCCTGTTCGAGCAGGTAGTGGTCCCAGAGGGCGAGCGTGGTGGGCATGTCAAGGCTTCGGGCCAGGAGGGTGAGCACCCAGGGTGTCAGGTAGAGTTCGGGGGGGAGGCCGCAGGCATCAAGGCGCAAGGAGAGGCGGGGGCAGTGGTAGAGGAGGAGGAGACGGAAGAGGAGGAAGAGGGCTTGCAGGAGGTGGAAATCCTCGTCCGAGTACAAGTTCCCCAGCAAGAGGTGGAGGAAGCGTGTGAAGCAACGGTAGATGAGGAGGGAGGGGGCGGCCGAGGGAGGGCATCCTTGCCCACGTCTGTCCCCCCCGTCTCCCTCCCCATCCTCCTGCAACGCACCCCCCGCTTCTTCCCCGACACCCTCGCCTTTCCTTCCTTCTCCTAGTCGGTCGGGCCTTCGCCCCTCCCCATCACCTCCGCCCTCCCTCCCCATCACCACCTGGACAAAAGGAGCCAGGACCTCGTTCAGCCCCTGCTTGTACGAGATTCCCTGCAGTTTGCAGTACAGGGTCAAGACCCGTTCGATCATGGCTTGGGTGCCGGGCGATTTGAACAGAGGTAGCTCGGACCGTGTGCGGAGGGCGTCGATCTCGACAACGCGTTGATTGGGGAGGTCCAGGGGCACGTCTTCAATGGCCTGGGCGAGGGAAAACGGCTTCGCATCGTCGCCGCAGAGCGCCTCCAAGCCCCTCGATGGGCCGTCAACAGGGCTGCTCTTGTTCCCACAATGGGGCCCGACCTTCGCCCCCGCAGTTGCTCCTTCCTCCTTGCCGGAGAAGCCTTGGACGATGGCACTCGGGGCCGTGGCAACGTCTGCATCGTAGGCATCGGGACCGAGAAGAAGAAGGGGCCAGATATCTCGGCGAAGGTCCGGGGGAATGCTTCCCAGTTGTTGGCAAAGTGTACGGACGAGCAAGGGGGAGGGAGGAGGAGCACCGCGATGAGGGGGGAGGGCCCGACGCAAGAGGGCCTCGGTGTCCTGCTCGCCCCGCGTCCCGGCGTTCGCATCCGAATGAGGAGGCGGTGTAGATGAAGAGACGGAGGTAGGCGCAGGTGAGGGAGGATTGAGGGATGGAGCTTGCATGCAGGATTGAGAGGAAGGTTCAATATGAAGGAAAACGGCCGCAACTTGCCCCCCAGGCTGCGGAGAGAAAACCTGCCCAGGAGAGAAGGACCGATGTAAAGAAATGAAACCAGGATAGCTGAGGTGTCACTCTATGTCATGAGGCCATGGAACTCTCGCATATGTGGGAGCTGTTGCGGTCAGTGCGTGCACAGGCGGGGTCAATGAAGGGCGTAGTACGAGGGAGGGCGGGAGAGAACTGGAGCGCGTCGCTGACTTGCACCCTTCGTTTTCCAGCGAGCCCCCTGTCCTTGGAGACAGGGACAACAGCTTTGGCACCGTTCCGCTCGTAGGATGCATCAAATGTGGGGTTGTTTAAGCTTAGGAGCAATGCGCAGTACGACTGGGGTGCATGGACGCGTCAAAGGAATTCCGCCACTGAAGTGCAGATCGGAGGGGAGGTTAAGCGTGTCCACAGCGCTAATTGTTCTTACTTTACCGTGAAGTGTTCAAAAACACATCCTATTCATGCCTAGTTGGGACTTACATCTAGATATCTGGCTCAGCATGTTTTAAAGCAATCAACGTTTATATGCACGCGAGAGCTGTTGACCTCCGTTCCAAAAGGCATCCACGAAACTGGCACGTAGACTTCCTATCTCCATCGGAAAGTACCCGCGAATTTATTGGCTGCCAACACATGCTGAGCATTCAAAGGATCCACCACCAACTTGCGCGACGCAAAAGGATTGGGCCCCGGCGCTACCAGCCATTCCACGCGCAAATCCCCGAATCCACTTTCTTTGTCCTCAGCCCCTCCACTTAACCAGGCCACATCCCTGTCTCGGTCCTCTGCAGAATGCGCAGTCCATAAAATGGGCACTTTCGCAGCTTGTAGACATTGTAAGGTCGGCTTCCACGCCTTTGCCAATGCCGGGTGTCCCAACCCTGGATTGAACAAGACAGCAGCGCTCACTGCTGCCGGGCTTGCATCGGAAGCTTGAGACGGTGCCACGGGGTCTAGAGAAGAAGCGGTGGGAGCCGGGGTAGCCGCTACGCCCGGGGAGGACGCAGACGAGGCGGGAGGCGACGAGGACGGTGACAGGCGGAAGGAAGAGACAAGGTCAGGGGCCAGCACGTGATACATTCCCTGGCGTCGGTGCATCCAGAGCTGCCTTTGCGGATCGAGTCGCACGCTCTCCCGCCCGGCTCGTGTGGCGGGGTCGTACACCTCCGGTCCCACCATGTGGAGGCAGAAGAGCCCTGGCTGCAGGCACAGCACTTCCTGCCACCATGCATCGGGGAGCGTGGCCTCTGCCCGCGCTCCGATAATGGCCACGTGACACACCTCCCCCGGGGAGCCCGCCTTGGCAGAAGAAGTGTCTGACCCGTGGAGGGACGGAAGGTAGTGGGCGAGGGTGAGGGGATAGGAGAGGAGGTGGGACAGGACACGGAGGCCAGGCGATGCGAGGAGGGTCTCCGTGTTTTTGCCAGCCCATTGCCGGCGTCTTACGTATTCCTCCAAGGTGGGCGGGGGGGAAGTAGAGCTCGGACCTTCTCCGGCTGCATGAAAAGCACTGGGCGCGGGGGGCTGGATCAGTCTCGAATTGGTCGGTTTGCTGAGCCAGAGAGCCTCTTCGCGCGCTTCGCGGGCCGCCATGGCCGCAGTAGGTGCTGTACTGGTGGTCATAGTCTTTCCTGGCGAGGAGGAAGCTAACACGGGGCTCAGGGGAAGTTTGAAGCTGAAGAGGTGTCTATTGGAATGTAATCCACGCCGCATATTTTTTCCAGCTGTCGGAAAATATTAGATTTGTCAGATTAGTAACTGCTAAATTAATCGACAGAAGGTACAAAGAAGCTGTACAATTTGGAACCAGACGTCAGAGAGGGGGAAGCCGCGCTCGGAAGATACTGGCCCATAACGGCAATTAGGGCGACTCGCAAGTTCTTCACGCTTGGCTTTTACGATACCATTGCAAGCCAAGCCACAGTGCTTCATACTATCAAGTGGCCAAATTTTGGAATTGATTGTTGACCCTTGATCGCGATGTGAATGATGAGTCCTCACTCTCTAGGCTACGTGGCCGCCCTGAGAATTTCCAAGGGGGAGCATTAAACCTCCGGGCAGACTTTTCGACGCACGTTCACGACACACACATTGCGCAAGGAAATCCTTCTGTTTCTGACGATAATGAGGTCTACGATGAAATATTGCTATGATTTGTTGTACACAGATCCGAGAGGTTAAGCTCCACATGGTTGGAGAATTCGCTTATGGGAGCCAAAATGTCCTAGCCAGGAAAATGGTAAATATGCTGCGTGCGCCAGGACTCTCGCATGAACACTCTCCTACAGAATACAAAGGATTAGAATCAGCATGCTTCGGGAGCGCTTATGCTCAGTGTTTGGCACTCCCGGGAGGTTTTTCCAATCTCGCCACTCGAGGACAGAGTCGACGCAGGAGAAGGAGCAGGGGGAGGAGTGGTGCTTGCTCGTCTGGCTCGTCTGGCCTACTCCATTCTAACAAATACTTAATGATCTGAGGCAAACACACTACGGTGAAGTAGGCTTGCTTTTTTACATGAGTGATAACTTTAATTGTCTCTTCCACATCTTGGAAATACCATGATCTACACCTGCACGTGTGCATACACCCCTCCTTCGTGTCCTTATGTTCCCCATCCTGCCCTACCTTGCCTCCTCCTTTTCTTCCTCTCCTTTTTCTCGCCCACCCCAACCTGCACAAGAAACGACAGCGTTCCTACCCACCTCC